TCAGATCACAGCCTCCTAAGTAGCTAGGATTACAAGCGTGAGCCGCTGGTGCCCAACTCTCATTTTTTCATTTTGTGAGTCAAATTTTTTTTTTTCAGTGCTGGAAATTAAACCCAGGGCCTTGCACCTGCCAGACAAGCATCCTACCACTGACCCACTTCCCCAGCCCTCATTTTTCATTTTGGATGTATGTGACTTGTCTCAGGAAAGGATAGACAGGTACTTTTTCTTTTAGTGGGTTTGTTATGCTCACAGCTTAGATGTCTGCTCAATAAATGCCTGTATAGATTTTCTGTGTGGGAATCCAGGCTGCAAGAGTTAAGATTATTTTAAAGTGGCAGAATCCTTAGAAAATGCTGGAGAAAAATACCCTAGTCCTGGTTACTCTTTTTTTTGGGTCCGGTCCTGGGGCCTGAACTCTGGGCCTGGGCGCTGTCCCTCAGCTCTTCAGCTCAAGGCTAGCGCTCTACCACTTGAGTCACAGCGCCACTTCCGGCTTTTTACTTATGTGGTGCTGAGGAATCGAACCCAGGGCCTCGAGCATGCAAGGCAAGTGCTCTACCACTGAGCCACCTTCCCAGCCCCCTGGTTACTCTTAAGAAAGAACATTCTGACATTTTGGTCTTGTCTCCTGTGAGTTTTCCTTTCTATGTAATGTGGAGGGTTGTCCTCGCCTCCCTGCTCCCCTCCCCACCTTCCCCCGTGCCAATCCTGGGGTTTGAATTCAGAGCCTGAGCACTATCCCTGAGCTTCCTTTGCTGAAGACTAGCACACTACCACTTGAGCCACAGCATCACTTCAGGTTTTTTGTGTTTGTGGTACTGGGGAATCAAACCCAGGGCTTCATGCATGCTAGGCAAGCACTTTACCACTAAGCCACATTCCCAGCCCAGTAATGTGCTGTTTTCAACACTTCACATATTGGCTTGCTCTTTGGTTCTGTCCCCAGAACGCTATTGGGTGACTGCAGAAAGCCAGTGCCGCAGGTCTTGAGATATTACATTCATGGCCTGGGCTACCCTGTGCCTCCTGGAAAACCTGGATCTGAGGGAAAGCAGCTTGCTGGGCTTGGCACAGATGCTGTCCCCTGGGACTGGCCACAGCTGGGATGATAGGTGCTCCTAGGGAGGGTCCTGGCCTCTCCCTTCCCGTGTGTTTTGCTGATCACCTTGGTTGACAGTCCTGCATTCTAGATGTGAGGCTCAGCTGTTTGAGGTAGGCTCCCTTCCTGCCTCCATCACAAAGCACTTTCCTGCCTGGCTCCTGGGTTTGGTTGGGGGGAGACAGAGACAACTCAGGCTGCTAGCACACAATCTAAGCACATCCTCCTCTGACCCAGTTCTTTAAGGGGATTGTTTAACGCAATTAACTGCCAGTGGGCCATTCCAGGATGCAGTTAGTCCACGTTCATTTATGAGAAGAAAAAATTCTGGGGTTTCCCCTGGCAGTCGTACATGAGGATCTGAAAGCATGCCTAAAGAGCAGAGGGAAGGAAAGGGAAGGGTGGAAAAGCCTTCCCAGTTGTGATATTTGCATCTCCCCTCCCCCTGCAGGCTCAGGATGTGACTTGGTATTGGGGTGGCAGTCATGGGGGGGGGGGAGAGGAGCGCAATGCTGATCCACTCTCCAGCTTCACTTGGTCCTGCCCCCTGCAGCTGGCCAGGGAAGAGCCAGGGGCCCCTGAGCCAGACGGTGGCAGCTGAGCCTTCACAGTGGCTTTCTGTTCCCCAGGCTCCACTGGACGGGCCCCCATGGGAGGGGGTCTCTCAGCACGCTCCTCACGTCCTGCCAGACTGAGGGTCTGGCCTGTCGCCTGGGAGGCCCACTGTGCTGGGTCCTCTGACACGATTGTGGGGCTCTCCTAGGGAAGGGTAGAGGTGTGAGGGAACTCGCTGGCCACCAAGAGGCTCCTGTCACTATTGTGGGGTGGCCTCACGATGTAGTTAGTGTGTCCAAAGTAAGGTTGTCATTTTAGTTGGAATGAAAAGAACGGGCACACAGTTCAGTTTCAGTTTACGGAACATATTTAAGTGTGTTTGGAACAGCAGGGATTGAGTTCAGCTGTAAGTTTTGTGAAATCTTGCATACTCTTGAAGGATTTTCCAGTTGGAAATTTCTCATCCAAATTGAGAATAGTGTAAAGAGTATGTGCAAGTGTAAAATATGTTGGATTTCAAAGATATGAAAAAGCAACTTAAAACAGCGCTTGCGTAGCTTACTTGCTCACAGCTGGCACCTGTTCGTTGAGCCATGTCTCCAGGTCTACTTCTCGATGGTTATTTTGGAAATGGAGTGTCATAGATCTTCTGCTTGGGCCAGCTTTGATCTGTGACTCTCAGATCTCAGACTTATGAGTCCATAGGATTACGGCTCAGTAACATTTTTTTTTTTGGAGTCCGGTCATGGGCCCTGAACTCGGGCCTGGGCGCTGTCCCTCAGCTCTTCAGCTCAAGGCTAGCGCTCTACCACTTGAGCCACAGTGCCAATTCTGGTTTTTTTCTTTTTTGCTTATGTGGTGCTGAGGAATCGAACCCAAGGCCTCATGCATGCAAAGCAAGCACTCTACCACTGAGCCACCTTCCCAGTCCCCTCAGTAACAATTTTTATATTGGTTATGTGTTAAAATGATTGTTTAGATATATTGGCTTAGCTAAAATGTTATTATTAGAATACTTAGATGTGTGATTTCGTTATTTATGTTACTAGATTTTAACTCAGGCTTGTGCTTACTAGGCAGGTGCTCTACCATTGAGGCACACCTTTACTAAGCTGAATTAGAAAACGATGCTCCTGGCTGTAAC